GCACGATGGAAAAACATTTTTGGTGACAAAACTCTGCCTTAGGTGCTAAATGGGGGGGTATTGAGTGTAATACTTTTTCTAGTGTAACTGAAAAATTTTAAAAAATTGAATTTTGAGCTTTTTATTAATTTTAAATTGTTAGACTTTATTTTCTCAACATTTTTCGTGTTACACTGAAAAAGTATTCAGTACCCGATTTGGCACCTAAGGAAGAGTTTTGCCAGCAAAACATTTTTCCATTGTGCTTCATTCGGCCACAATCAGTGGCAAGGCTCTTAAAAAATACTAACAGGTTCGCCAGGACGTCCCTCCACGTATTTTTTCTATTTTCCTCGTGTTCCCTTAGGATCCTAAGGTTAGGGTTTTTTTAAAAGATGCACCGTGAAATAATCTACAAAAACATACTTAAACTTTAGTTTCAGAACTTCAATTAAGAAAACGACGCAAATTATACGAAAGACGAAAAAAACGAAAACTTTCCAAAATTAAAAACGATTTCTTCTCTTAATGTTTTGAAACTAAGAAAACCTGAATCAGCCATTATGTAGCCGTGACTTTGCTCTGTCTTTCAGCTACACTCCAAAATTTTTCACATCAAGATTTATAGAGAAATAATGATTTTTTGATCTTTTGTCATGCAATTTTTCATTAATTTTTTAAATTCTGCATATAGTGGTGCTTTTAGTAAAAGTTCCATAACTCCATAAAAACAAAAGATTTTTCGATGGGGTTTCTTTGTAGTAGAGTTACAAGTTACTAGTAGTTCTCCTAACCGTCTAAAAATCTTCTTTAAATCCACTTGCGATACCTTTCGCGAGCTTGTTTGGCTTTCTTAAAAAAATCTATTTTAAACGGTCAGGAGAAAAAAATTTTTATGTCTTTGTTTTGACATGCGTAGCTAGCATTAAGTGATGTGCAGTTTTTAAGCGAAAAACTCAAAAGGTTGATTTGTGAAAAGTAGGAGAAAAATGTCTTTTTCCCTACATAAGACCCATTTTCCAGCCATTTTCACAAAATTAAAATTTTTTATCGCTATTAACATGAACTGATGCAGATACAAAAGCGTGCCACTAGATGTAACTTTCAATGCTCTATTCAATCATATGTGAATTATTGCATTTGGTCAATTGGTCAAAACTGAGGTAAAAACCAGTAGAATACGGTGCTCAAATATAGTACTTGACATAAAACTTGTAAAACCATGAAAAACCATCGCAAAGCGCTCGCCGACGTCTCATTTTGTAGAAAAATGTTTCCTCTACATCTGCAACATTTTGACAGCTGAAATAGTACGAAAACCCTCTGGTGCAAATAGTTTTCTATGAGCCCCTTCTGTTGAAACCCGTTTTTGAACCAAAGGCCCAAACTCTGAAGATTCGATTTTTTTCATTCGGTAGAGCATCTAAAACTGTAGATGCTCATGGGATTTTCTGATTGGGCCACGACTTAGTTACAAAATGGGAAGCTCATGACTTGAAGGATTAGAGACATTTCCTCGTTTTTTTTGCTTGAAAATGGCTTCTTGAGCGGAAATGTTAGTTTCAAGCGATTTTTTGGTTAGATTTGAAATGTTCATTTTTGAGTATATCTGAGTGATTTTGGAGGCTTTCCAACTATATTCTGGGGCACCAGCTGCACTGTTAACCATATAGGTCACTTATAACTTTAAACCAACTTTTTTTCGGCGAAACATCAATTTTCTTCATTTTTTCGATGTGATATTCGTAATCAGTATGCAATTCTGATTCGAATGAGGTATATTTGGTCAAAATCTCAGAAAAAAAAGTTTGTGTGTCCCTGACGGGGGGGGGGGGGGGGGGGAGGGGGGGGAAAAAATTTTATGATTTTGTTTTTTTTTTTTTTGGGGGGGAAATTTTTAAAAAAAATAAATGTTTATAAAAAACGCGGGTTTTTAATNCCCACACACCACCACCCCCCCCCCCCGCCCCCCCCCCCCCCGCGGGGGCGCCCCCCCCCCATAGCGGAGAACTAAAGTTTAAGTATGGTTTTGTAATGTATTTCGCGGAGAATCTTTTAAAAAATACTAATGTTCATTAAAACACGCTTCTTTAATAGTGAATTTTTAAAAAAAACCTCTTAAATTTCTGTAAACTTTTAAAAGTTAAAAGAAAATGGGAAGAACGTGTCTGGGAGGTTCAAACGTGTCACTATATACGTAAGTCGACATGGGCAACAAGGTGATGTAAAAAGCCAGGGAGATGCGCCCCTCCTTAAGAAGACATTGAATATGATGACGCCTTGAAAATGTCGTCAGTGATGAAAAAATTTATCTGTCTCTCGATTTTTGGGTACTGTAATTCATGCATTACTATTAATTTATTTCGCTCACAATCAGTCGATATCTCCAGCTCTTTAGGAGATCATCAAATGAATTTTCAGGTATAGTGCAGCTGCGGTCCAATATGTGCCATGAATATAAACAAAGGAATACATTTTTTTATTGTCGGTTCCAGTTTCATTGTCCCTTAGAGAAAAAGTGATAACTGCTATCAGTGACTAATCATAGATGATACTGTTCCTGTAGTTCCAGCCTTAAGTTATTTAAATTTGCTTGTATTAATCGTTCGAGCTAGCCGACTACGATATGGCGGCCCAGTGACATTTATTACCGTTTACCCGTCGGATATTCGAAACGTCACGAAACGTAAAGATTTAAACATTTCCATTAGTGCGCAAGAATTATGGTGCATATTTGAAGATGGATCAATTTCGCCTGTTTATAGATATGATTCGAGCTATTCTTCTGAGCGAGTGTCACTATTAGATTGAGAGCTCACAGAATATGCCAGAGATGAATTATGTCATGACATGCACCAGATCGACAACATAGTCTTGACTTTCATAGTATCATTCTCAAATCAGTCGACAATCATTTTGATAAAGGGCTATCCCGACGTCCCTCAATCATTATCTAATTTGGTTGAACAGATATTGCTCTTCTTTTTTGTGCCTCGCTACTACGTAACAAAGTCAAACATTCAGGACAATGGATCGAACTTTATCGTATGGTCGGTTTCACGAAATTCGTTATTTATAACTCAACAGATACTGATAACAGACTTGAGAAGATACTAACCATTCAAAAACTGTTTGATTTTTCTATGGATAGACAGGCATGTAATTTGACACGAGCTATGCGTGGAAAATTCCATGTGTTACATCCATCCTTTTATTTGAAGAATAAAACAGGAAAAAACCATAAACGCTCTGACTGCAGAGAAAATTTAGCAGTACATAGATGTGAGAGAAAAAGAATCTGAACACAATGAATGTAGCTATGATAAGAGAAGGAATACTGATAAAGAGAATGCTGTTGGGAGAGTCATGGCGTTATGTCAGTAACGAGTGAAATAACACTTCTTCCGGTTTTAAGATGATAAGTACAGGTATACGTGAAAATTGGAAAATGACCTCGATAATCAAGATAAGAGAAGGGATACAGACATTCCGAAACAGAAGAGGAAATGCTAAGATTAAAAAGCACGTGTAAACATAAAAATGAAATTAAACTAAAAAATGAATAAAACGCAGAACGCAACGGTACGCATAGCGGTGCGATACGGTAAAAAAATTGTATCGGGCAGGACCAGACGGCTTTTGTCCGGTCTAGAGCTGGAAGCTGAATAGAGGTGCAACCGGCACCGGCGTCGGTAGGAATTATAACGCCGACCGGTTTACCGACACTAGTATGAAGTATAATCAGTCTGTCGATATTCCTGGTATTTTGCGGTATGATACAATTCTTCGAAAAACATAGTGTAAATTCAGTTCATCTGTGACATATTTCTTCCACTAAAATTCATTCCAATTACTTAAGCTTTGTTGGTTTCTATAAACTTCTTATTTTAAAAAATTGAATTAGACTGCTGTTTTCTTAAAAAGAAAGCGTGCGAAAAATCAGCTATACACTGTATAGCTGATTTTTGATTAGTAATCAAAGTGAAAGGATTAATCTTTCCCTTCGATAACATAAGTAATTGATCAAAAGAAGTGTAATCAGTTTTTTTCGCTGAATATTAACAGACTTCATCACATGTATGTTCAGACAAGCCGATACCAGTAAGAAGTTTGTACACCATTGGCCGGTACCGGTATCGCGTTTTTAGTCCCGGTTATATCCCTAGAGCCGAATAGTACTTGGAGCTAAGTTTTGATAGTCTTCGTCCTCTTTTCATCTGATAGAAAGACAGAATTCGTCAACGTATTGAACCATGGAGGCATGAGAAGAACTAGTGTGCGAAATCGTAGTGAAATTCTACTCGAATCACGTGCCGAGCGTCCTCGACAACTAACGGTAAGTAATTTCGGTGGCATAGAGTTTTTCCGTACCGGCCGGTATTTCGGATGGATACCGATTTTCTGTACCGGTCGATCCGGTATGACTTTCTTCTTGTCCGCTCCAAATTTCCTGGGCCTTACTGAACATCACTTCACCGCTTCAAACTCGTTTATTCCATTTCTGTCGACATGTTCATTAAAAGCGTTTCAGATACAAGACAAACTGGCGGTTAGTTGCCTCAGCTTGGTTAAGGCGCTGTGGCTTTCTCTGTCGTTGAGTCTACAACGGCGTTTCATTTCTGTATTGGTTATTGTCACTTCTCTCTCTACTTTGGTTGTTGTTACGTCCCTTATCTTGCTCTTTTTTCTCTTCTATTTTCTGTCGGCGAGCATTCATCATCGTACTCTCTGTGAGATGTTCGACCACAGATGCACTATCGGACATACTTGTTTGTGCCCCTTCTAGTATAAATAGCCACAGTTTTCCTAATAAAAAAGAAGTCAGATTGCTCGTTAACAGATCGCTGCTTTCTCCTAATCAATGCGTGTGTAATGTGAGAGGAGTATACTAAATGCAACACCGTAATGACACTGGCACTCACTCTAGTAACTCGTTGTTACAGCTTCCATTTGAAAACTCTGTTTATTTAGCCACATCCAAGGAGTGTGTTTAATCCGCTATTAGGTTTTCCCTTTTAGATATGACGACGCTTTCGGGCCCAGAACGGCCTGATCTGCTGAAGGGCGAGTTTCTCCACGACATATTTCTCCTAACGGCCACACGCTGCCCGAATAAAGTGGCTCTTCGTTGGCAGGATGAGGAGATCACTTATCGTCAACTACATCAACAAGCTTGGCAAATGGCCATCGCACTACGTGAGACAAGACAGATTGGTCCGGGTAGTATTGTGGGCATTTGGCTTTCCCGTTCGCCTCAGTTGCACGCGACAATCATCGCTGTCTTGATGACGGGTGCAAGCTATGCTCCATTCGATGCGGATACCCCACAAGAGCGTGTGAGCGGAGTACTCTCAGATGTTGAGGCTGTTCTTCTCCTCGTCGATTCCCGAACTCGTATCAATCATCCGTTGGCTCTCAACATTCAGACTTTGAGCGGATATAAGGCGATCGCTGCAGATGGCGATCTCTCAGTGGACATCGGTGCAAATTCAGCAGCCTATATCATCTGTACTTCGGGTTCAACCGGAAAGCCCAAAGCCATTGCCATCAGTCATCGCAATATCTGTCATTTTTTGCGGGCTGACAATGAAATTATGCAAATCAGACATGAGGATATCGTCTATCAAGGATCTTCAGCAGCCTTCGACACGTTTCTCGAAGAGACCTTTCTCGCCTATCTGGTTGGAGCAACTCTCGTGATCGCCTCAAAATCAGACGTGCTGAACACTGATCGTCTTCATTTGTTCTTTATCCATCATTCAATCACCGTGCTTTTCTGTGTGCCCACCTTATTGCTGCTCATAAAAAACGATCCGGCGCTCAAACTTCGTCTGATTAACGCTGGCGGTGAAGCCTGTCCACGGGTAGGTATTGTGAGAAGGCCAGTTTTTATCTACTTTTGGACCAAAGCCGACTTCTTCTTGGTCATTTCAGACTTTGGTGTCAACTTCCACAAAAGCGTTTGAGATTTACCGATCAGCAGAAAAAAATTTCTCGCTATATACTTCAACACTCATTTCACAATCGTGTTTCACAAAATTCAGACAGCGCCAGTAGAGTACTTCACAACTCTGGATCCTATGAACCAATTAACTTGAAATTTCGAACGGACAACATGCAAAGGTTTAGAAGTATTTTTTAAAAGTTTCAGAATCACAGCTTCTGTTGAAGTGGAGAGACGCTTGAAGCGAGACCCCGTTGCTGCATTCTCTACCGCGTCTTACGAAGGAACCCTTTCAACTGATTAATAGTTTTTGCGACGAAAGCTACTGGATTATAGGCTATCGGCCATTCTGATTCCCAATATGACCATGAGAGTTCCCTTATCCCTTCAAAGACCCGATTTTCTGGAAAACCAGTTTTCAGAAAGTCTAAAAAATAACAAAACCTTTCCTAATAGGGCATGGTTGTAGCCTGTAAAGTTTGGATTACAATGAGACATCTGCCAGGTCTACACGACGTTTCTCTGCGAAATTAAGGAATTTACAAGAAAAACTCCAAACTAATTTCTTATTATTTTTGCAGCTTTGAGCTGACAATGAATATGCATGACTTCGCTTGTAAATCCTAACTCTTTGCAGAGAAAGGTCATGTAGGGCTGGAAGATGTCTCATTTTAATCAGAAATGTGCAGGCTACAATCTTGCCTCATTAAGAAAAGTTTTGGTTATTTTTTAGACTTTCTGAAAACTGGTTTTCCAGAAAAACGCTTTTGTTACAAAAACGATTTACCAGTTGAAACGGTTCCCTCTTTAGGACCCTGACCGGCTCAAGCGTCGTTTGTACACAAAGAACTTGACAGTCGGAGCTACATTTAGCGTTAAAAACCAGACATAACTCCTGTGAACATCAAAGAACAAGAAAATCTTTTTTGAGATTCAACTCTGGCTCATTTCGTTAAAAAGTGGCTGGAATTGTTGTTACGAAGGAAGATCCCATGGTATCCCGCGCCGATCGAGCTGATATTTTGCTCAGTTTTGACGCTATCGGCCAAATTTATTTTAAAAGATTTCCCATTCAATACTCTAAAAAATCATACCTAAACTATAATTTCAGAACTTCAATCAAGAAAACTAAGCCAATTAAATGAAAGTCAAAAAAAAACTTTCTAAACTCAAAATTTTTTCGACCTGAACTTTTTCTTCTGATACTATTTTCCCTAAAAAGTGTAGCAAACGTGAGAACTCCGTTTATGTTTGGTACTTTCAAATGTGCTCTTTCTCGCGGTCTGTAAGAAAATTTTTTTGGAGCAGATGATGTGCTTGAGTACGAGTTACAAAAATACATCAAAATTTGACGACTTCCCCATTTTCAACAATGTGCTCAATTAAGAAAAGGAAAAGACGATTGAAGTTTGATTTTGCAGTTAGATAGAGAAGGGCAATCATTTCTGATCAAAACAAGCAAACCAGACCGAAAAAGCTTTTATTTTGATGGAGTTATGGGGCTTTTACTGAAAGCACTATTAAACCCAAAATTTAAAAAATTAATGAAAAAATGCCTGACACTCGAAAGAAAAACTATTATTTCGCTGTGGCTTTTGCTGTAAAAAAATCTGAAGCGTAGCTAAAAGATAAAACGAAGTCAGGGCTACAAAATGGCTAATTCAGTTTTTCTTGCTTCCAAAAGGTTAACACAAGAAATCATTCTTGAGTTTAGAAATTTTTCATTTTTTTCGACTTTCATCTATTTGGCTTAGTTTTCTTGATTGAAGTTCTGAAATTACAGTTTAGGCACCCGTTACTTATGGGCAAAATGTCTGGTCGATCGGCGCGTGATCCCGGAGGATGTATCCTCATTAGAGTAATAGCTCTTCTCTAATACAATCAATATAATACAACATCATGCGTAGGATCCAAGAGATCAAACGCAAGATACAACTTCAAGAACTTTAGTATCGGTACCTTTCTTTTATCAGGCTCTCGTCAATCGATGGTGGAAGGAAGACAGATTGCTTTTCAACTCTTACGGTCCAACAGAGACAACTGTTGCCGCCACAGCTCTCCTCCTGCATCCGGGCAAACCAATCAGCATTGGCGTACCGTTACCAAACTATGTGTGCTGTCTTCTGGACGAGACGACAGGCCAGCCGACCACGTCGAATACGGGTGAACTGTGCGTTCGTGGACCGGGTGTTGCTCTGGGTTACGTACGTCAAAATTCGTTAACAAGAGAAAAATTCACCCAGTACGGTTATCGCACGGGTGATCGAGTGACATTTGACAAAGGACAAATCTTCTTTCACGAGAGAATCGATTCTCAAGTCAAACTACGTGGATTTCGCATTGAGCTCGATGAAATTGAACAGGAATTACTTAGATTGGGCGATGATGTTCAGTCGGCCGCCGTAGCCGTTCTAAATCAACAACTCGTTGCCTTCATCGTCGGCCAATTGACGGAATCGCGTATGCGAGAAACACTCGGACAACGGCTACCCCGCTATATGGTACCGGATCGATTGATCAAGTTAGATGGGGCGATGCCTCGCTTAGTTAGCGAGAAGATCGATCGTAAAGTTCTCGCCACTTTATTCTCAAGAGACGACGCGGAGAAAATGAAAGCTAGTCAGACAAGAATTGATATGGGTAAGTCCTCTGTGGGATTACAGAGGGATTAAAAGCTTTTGAGTCCACACCATATTTTGCCCATCAATAGGATATCTTGAAACTAAAAGAATCTCAAAAGGTGCCCATGTTTCAATTTAGTAGAGATATCGAATTTTTACTGGATATTGCCTGCAGGACCTCGATTTTGCTGCAGGCTAATCTGATAGAAGACTTCACATGTGCAGGGTTTCAGGTGGAAATTGGAAAATTTGATTTTGCAGCAAAATCGAGGTCCTGCAGGAAATGTCCAGTACAAACTCAATATCTCAACTAAATTGAAACGTGGGCACAAATCCTTTTAAGATTTTACTGTTCTCAAGGTTCCTACTTATGGACAAGATATGGTGTGGACTCAAAAGCTTTTAATCCTTCGGAGACCTTCTCTCGTTAGCGCTATTCTTTGTCAAACGAGGTGAGAGATCCCCCGCCTGAAAATGCACGAACAGAAGGAAGTTTCTGACGGTCAGTAAGTGGAGCAGGAGTAAGAGAAGAAAGACATATTTTCTTTCCTTAAACTTACGCTGGCTAATTCGTGAGATATATTCCCCAGAACTTGCAATTTGAAGGACAGTCTTTTCAGGCCATAAGCATGTTTGCAGATAATTGAATAAAAAATGATTGAACAGCACCAGAGTCATGATCTAGCATGATATATTTCAGATGGGCGTACGCCCATCCCGAAAAGTGTTGGCCACAATCCGCTCGATATCGTCCTTGGCGCCTTTCAAAAGAGTTTTTCACATATTCAACCGAATGAGAATGACGATTTCTTTCTTGATCTCGGTGGCCACTCATTGACTGCGGCACTCACAATCACTAAACTACGCGAATCATTCCCCGACATTGCTCTGCAAGATTTGTACGAATGTAAAACGGCAGCGAAGCTCGCGGAACTTGTAATGATAAAATACAACAACAACGTCGAAACAATTCCTGTTTCTGCTACTATTCGAATCAAGCCAACGTGGACGACATCTCTTCTCTGTAGTACAATTCAAGCTCTCGTTCTCGTCGTTCTCGCTGGTGTTGCCGCGCTCGAACTTCTCCTACCTTATATTGTCTTCGGCCTAGTTCTGGATCTCGGTGGTATCGGCTATGCGTTTCTCGTTGCATATGGGACATTTGTGGTCGTACCTCCTTTTCAGTGTCTTCTAGCTATTATAATCAAATGGACTGTCATTGGTAGGTATGAAGAGGGCGATTTTCCTCTGTGGGGCGCAATGTATTTACGATGGTGGACCGTTGAACAGTTCAAAAATCTGGCGGCATCTCAGCTTTTGTCTCATACGCCGCTGATGGCTAGTTACTATCGATTACTCGGCGCGAACATAGGTCGAAACGTTCATCTCGGTCAAATCAACTGTTCGGCTACGGATCTTTTGGAGATTGGCGATGAAACAACCATATCATCAGATGTGAACATTCAAACGGCCTTTGTCGACGACTATACGCTCAAATTTCGACGCATATACATTCAACGTGATGTTTACATCGGTGGATGCAGTGTTCTTGCCGGACAGACAACGATGGAAGATCATTCAGAATTGGGCGATATGTCCTTTCTTCCTT